CTAAGGGTGTCCAAATGACAAGATCAGGTGTGACATTTGAAGTTGGATGAGATGAATTCTGCCCAGAAATCCCACTTATTATCTGTGCAAGGTACCTAACCCTACATATTACATAGTACGGATTTCATATTCTCCCTGCAGTTCTATACTCCCTGATCCCACGATAGGTAAATCCACAGTCTTTTTTTCCCTCTCCATAAAAAGACATATGCTACCAAGTCAATTAATACTTCCTCCTCAAGTAATTAATATTAGTACCTGGCAAAAATACTTTGTGGATATCTTACCTATTGCTCAGAAAGGCATTTTTGCTGTGACTGTTTCTGTCACAATAACCAGTTTTTAAATTTGCAGCTCGACACTGGTCCCTGCTACTTGATTGTTTGACGTCTTTCACCAAACTCTTTGCTTATTTTTCTTGCTGTTTTCCAAGGGAACTTTAGCCTTTTGGCCTTACTTTGGCCCTTGGTAGTCTCATAGCCCTTACCCATACCAAGAGACCGTGTCTGACATTAGCCAGGGCCAACAAGATTATGTTGTTTTGAAGAAAGATTGATGCCTGTACTTTAACGGACTTTACGCACTGTTAAACCAAATATATGATGTCCAGTTACAAGATTTTTATCTTTATGTCAAAATATTTATAACGAGGAAAATGAGGGATAATAAGACTTTAGGTTATAGCAGGAAAAAAAATGAAATTCCTATGCCTGTAATTCGAGGCTTCTCTACATTTCCCATGTTCCCTCTTCTATCCAAGAACGACACTGATACTTAAGGTAACTCAGATTTCACAATTTCATTTACTTACAGATTCTAACAAAGATTTATAAAGAAATACAAACAAATTAGAACAATAACAAAATTAATACACATACACTTTCACTTTATGGACTTCTTTGTCGTCGCATTCTCTTTGCTTATTGTAATAATAGAAGGTGTTGTCCCTTCTCTGAAGTTTCTTAACAAATCCAGTTTCTGGCCAACGCTCTACCTAAGAATAGAATAAAAAAGATAGACATTCACCTGGACATGCTCACCTTAAATTATGTTTGTGCATTACATTGCAAAGAATATAGGGTATATTTCTGGGGGAAAACCTCATTTGCATCTAAACACTACTTTGCTATTAATTTGCTTAACTTTTAAAAAAATATTAAGAACAAGATGTCAGAAACCAGTTTTCTGGTCTAGTATAAAGAATTATGTGATCAGAGGAGTCTAGAAATAAGGATCTGAGAATATTTGATAGACCAGAGTAATTTAAAAAGTGGACTAGTTGAAGCTTTTAAAATACCTTGTTTAGGAATAAAACATTGATGCTATTCAGTTATTCAGTAATCTGAGAGGCTGAAAGATTCCACTTCTGTAAGACTGACACACACTTAAAAGCTTCTTTGAAAAACGGACCATGAAAAATATGCTTTTTATTAGTAATTTCATAAAAATAAAATGAGCTATATGTGTCATGGTACTGCAGGAAATTAGCACCATCCTGGTGCTTTTCTGTGTTCCACAACGTGAAGCTTTACGCTAAAGGCTTGAGCCCTTGTAAGTTCAACAGTTTCATGGCTTTAGTAGCTGTCTGCAGCTTGAACACCTATGGCTGCTTCTGATCAAACGGAACCGGGAAAATCAGGTAATCAGGATCAGATTTCTGTCTGTCAGCCTAGGCAGGGTTGGCAATAGGATGTCGAACTAGAGCATTCTCTAACTGGAGAGTCCAGAAGTGGTAGTTTCATCACTCACTTTGTTACTTAAGGGTTACAGCTGAGTTATTTGCATTCTCTATCTAAACATAACAGCCTTAATATTTGTTCCACCTACATTATACTTGCCTCATTAATAACAACTGCATTACAGAAATATAAGATGGAGGAAACAAGACATTTCAAAATGTGTAAGTTGAAAGAGAATCGCTGCCAGATCCTGGCGAGTTTGAAGGGAATGCACTGAGTGGTGGGTTTTAACTCCCAGCAGAGTTTAATTGTCTACGGTTATGCCCTGTCATAAATCTTACACAGACTGATCCTACCACACTAATTGCAGGATTTCCTTTTGCACAGTTGAGGGAATTTACACTGCAGCCTTTACAGCAGTATCCATGCCCCTGGCAAAAGAATGAACCGCGTCTTACGCGCATTCATGTTTTGTTACGTTTTGAGTTGACTGGGTGAGGAGCGACTTTCTTAGGAACATTCTGCTCGCTCTTATGTGCACAGGAGGTTAGGATCTTTTAAAAGTGGGTTTCTCATGCTACATATGCTGCTTTGGAAGATAAATTACAGAGCTCTTATAAAGATAACACTTTTTTTGCTGTATTAACCTCTTGGTTGGCATTTTGAATCTCAAGTAGCCACTGAATATCTGACCACTGTTCACTAGCTCATTTGATGTGCTAGGGAGCATTGCCACCAACTGCAGTGAGCAAACGACCACATTCTTGATGTTCTTATTCGATAAAAGCCTGTGTCACAGCTCCCAGTTGGCATCAAATATGTCTATTCTGGACAGTTTCAACAGAAGCCAAGTTTTGAGTGTGCACGAAGTCTGATGGCGCCACCGTGCAATTCAGCTGTTACACTGAAGTTGGTAGCAATGACACAGAGCTGACTCTCTGGACAATGAGTGAGTTGTTGGGACTGTTCAGCCTGGAGAAGAGAAGGCTCCAGGGTGATCTTACTGCAGCCTTCCAGTACTTAAAGGGGGCCTGCAGGAAAGATGGAGAGGGACTTTTTACAAGGGTGTGTAGTGACAGGACAAGGGGCAATGGCTTTAAACTGAAAGAGGGGAGATTTAGATTAGATATAAGGAAGAAATTTTTCACTCAGAGGGTGGTGAGGCACTGGAACAGGTTGCCCAGAGAAGTTGTAGATGCCCCATCCCTGGAAGTGTTCAAGGCCAGGCTGGATGAGGCTTTGAGCAACCTGGTGTAGTGGAGGGTGTCCCTGCCCATGGCAGGGGGGTTGGAACTAGATGATCCTTGAGGTCCCTTCCGATCCTAACCATTCTATGATTCTGTGAGTTTCCTATCAGGTCTATTGGCAAAGTAACGGGGAAACTTCACAGAAAACTCACTTTTATATATTACTTTCCTGAAAATGGAATTATTCTTTTAGATAGCAGCTGCATGTAGTCAGAGAAATCTATAATGCTTCTAAATGCATAAGATGAGGGGAGCAAAAACACAGGCTGGGTAGTGCTTCTGCTTCACTTCTGTGAGATAACTTATTCTGCACAGTTAATAATAGCTTGAGACCTGGAAGAAAAAAACTGTACCAGAAACTAGCCTAAATGAAAGCAAATAAGCAGCACCGCCATTTTTATTTAATCATTTAACGTGAGACAGAAGTTTAAAGTAATAGCCCTCCCAGAATTCCAAATCTTACCACATCAACTTGTTTTATTTGTTTATATTCAATCTCATCTCTGTATCCAGCTTGCTGAAATCTGTATAAGTTCTCTACATCATCTGACCATTTTTTGGCACAATGTACAGATTTTGGTTTGATGTCGGCTTTAGCCATGACTCCAGAAACTTCAAAGTCTTTCCTGAAATTAAATTTTTGAAAATGAAACAGAGAAGACAGAAGCAAGCAATTTTGTTAGGGACATATAAAAACAGGCAGAACAAAATTTAAAAATAATTACATACAGTGCAATATTATCATCCCCTCAAGGTGTGAGGTCAAAAAGAAAACTGTTATAAGCAGATGGAATCTAATTAAATGTACTGCTTGATCTCAAAACAAATGCAACTTACCTGTACTTCTCTGTCTAGGAAACTATTATCATTCTGGTTTTGCCACCTTGACTTAACAGTGCTGCCTAAAATTTATTTGTGCACATTGATGCATTAAAAAAAATAAAAACACACTAATTGTTTTGATTTCACATCTTAGCAGTCACTGCCACCTTGGAACAGGCAGTTTTTCAGGTTTTCTTTTCTTCCTACTGAAAGGACAGTGAACTGGGAACCCCAAAATGAAGAGCTAGGCTGTTACTGAAGAACGGGAGAGGGAGAGGGAGAGGGAGAGGGAGAGGGAGAGGAGAGAAATGCACTGCCAGTCACATGGCCACAGGGGAAATGACAAAGAAGAGGTCTTAAGAAATAAATTGGATGTGACAAGGAGGCAAGGCACACGACCAACCAAACCTCATCCTATTCTACCCTTGCACCATCAAAATCTGCTCTGACTGCTGCTGACTTCCTCCTCACACAAAACACATTTGGTCAATCTGCTGAGAAATAGTAAACAGGCGGATCAACAGCTAAACCTGAACAGGGCAGAGCTGGGACAAGATGAAACTCAAACTGTAAAAAAACAAACAAATAAAAAAACCCCAAATAATTGTGAAGTCCATGGAAACTCACTAGGAATGGATTTGAGCTATATTTCAAAAAATATGAATTATTTGACTTCTACCTTGTATCTGAATTTCACTGCATTTGCTTTCTTGAGTGTATCTTATTCTGCCACTAAAAAAGAACCTTACGTTGGCTCTACAAGCAAAACACACAGAACACTATCATGCCTGGCAGATATGATTAGAAATGAGTCCTTTCCCAGTTCTGTAATGTCACCAAGCTGCAGCTTCATAATTAGGAAGGTAGCTTCAAGGAAGGTGAAAAAGCGTCTGGATTTTGTAGTCAGAAGACGAACCTAGTCTCATTCCCTGTGGGTAGTGTGCTGCCACCAAATGCTGTGCACAAAGTCAAATTTCCTTACCTAGCAAGTTCTTGTATCAGCTGAGAGCTTGAAAAGTTGAATGCTGACGTCTTATCAAATGCACAAATGCCCTTAGTCTGTTAGAAAGGCAGAGAAGGAGAAAATAAAAATCTTTGCACCGCAGCATACAAATCTTTGGGAAAATGATATCAAGAATTCTTGTCGTCGTAATGCAGAGATAGCAGAAGTCTGCATCTCTGCCTTCTAACTGTGTGAGAGCCACCAGCACACAAAGAAAGTGCCTTTCATCTCTTACTGCATACAGTTTATTAAAGATTAATCAAAAATTGCACAAGGGCTCTTTTCTGGCAACGCTAACCTGTTTCTTGCAGTTCAGCACTCCAAACATTGTTTTGCCAGGCTCTGCAGCATTTTATAACTGAAGGCAGCTATTTACTTAAAATAAAAGAAAAAAAAGTAATTTTCCCACCCAGTTATGAGATGTCACATACAAATTAACATGATAAACAAATATCCTTATCCTAAATCTTTAGTGTAGTCTTTGAGATATCTATCTTAACATAATTTTTTTTCTCCCTTGCTGCAAAGGGCTCTTTTGTAGCCATGACAGAATTTTTTGTGCCCTGTAAATGCTGATTGATGTTTGATGAGAACAGTTGTCAATTTGGGACTTTAGACAGTCAGTATGATTAGCAGTAATATTAGATCTCAACAAATGCTGAACTATAATGAATGTAAGTGTCTTATGATAACTTACATGTTACTAGTGTTGAGTACTACTTTATAGGATGTACTGAATTCAGCTAATGAATGTGTTTCTTCAAGACATCTAGATATGCCTGGCATTTCCTAGGTCACCGTTAATCCAGATGGCCTGTCCGCAGGCGTTTCTGCTCAAAAAATACGTACAAAGGTCACATACTTGAAGTGCCAGCTTGGTGACTTCAAAAAATAAAAGCCTAATGTTTTTAGGCTGCTATTTAAGCCCTTTAAAAACAGTAGTCTTTGTCTATTGTCGTGCTGCTGTGTCCCATGCACAGGACTGGTTTCATGGCACAAGAGCAGGAGGTGAGCTGTACTCCAGACAGCCTGCGATTCAGGGAAAACACAAAAGACAGCAGATGGATATAAGCAAAATGAAAGCATGCAAGAGAGCGGTAAGGAAATATTCAGCATAATACTAACACTTTTTATTTAAAGGGAATTGCCGAACAGTGAAGTGGACTTTGCCAAGATGACAATGTTTGCCTACTCTTAATTTAGGGGAAATAGTAAGATTTCATATACATCTGTTAAGGCTTTGGGAAAAGTTTTTTAGTGTCAATCATAGCAGAATTTCTATGGAATCTTAACTAGTCTGGGCTTGCATCTGGTAGTTTCCTTAATGCTTATACAAGTTGCAAAGGTATGTAGAAGGAGAGTGTCTGCTCCTTTAAGGGCATCTGGTCAAGGACCTTTATCAATGCATCAAGGGATAATAAGAAAGGGAGGAAGCCATAAAACGAGAACATATGGGGAGACAAACCTGACCAGTAAACTATGAGGGAGGCAGTGATAAGAACCAAACCTGGTCAGTCACACTAATTGATGGCAGCATGTGGGAGTCTGAAAATGTTTATTCCAGCAAGGTTATCTGATCTGGGACCTGTCAGCTGGGAAGCTGAGGGAAAAAAGGGAAACCAGAAACAAAATATACAGAGACACAGACCTGGTAAAACAGAGACCATAACAAGAAACAAACCTCACCACTCGCACTAATTGATGGGCTATCAAGAAACTACAGGCTCCACGTCCAGGAAGATCAACCTGGAGTTTGCAACTGATAAGATTGTAAACTGGGGGACCCCAGACTCAGAGGGGTGTGGAAGTCAATAGAGCTACACAAACCCATGAGGAATGTGCAGAGAGGGGGGAGCAGGGAGGCTTAAAGATGGGAATAGACGGAAAGGAGTATAAAAGAGACTGGTTGTATGTAAAACAGGGCCAGTCAGTATGCTTGCCTGGCTGAGCCCTGAACCGGATCATTACAGTCTGTTGTACCTTCTTACATCTCATTAAATCGTTTCTTAACTATCTCTGTGTAATCTTGATCTCTGTTCTGTGTGTGTGTGCGTGCGTGCTGCAAGGACTAAGTGCCAGCTACTAGTGGGACCTGTGTGTGTGAGTGAAAACTGGTGCCAGTTCCTACAGTCAGATCCAGAGGCACAGGTGTTCTGCACCCGGTGGTGTCA